AAAAAAAAAAAAAAATAGAAAATACCCAAGGACTGGGGGGCGTCGCAGGCTGGATGGGCTGCAGATTTGTGCTTTTGTCCAGTGGTGCTCTAGAGAGAAAGAGCCACGATGGGTTGAAGAAGAGTCGAGTGGTGCTGGTTTAAAGTCCAGCTTCAATTTCTGCTCCTGTGTTGTCAGCGGCTGATTGTGGGTTTGCGCAACCCTTGATTAAAAAACCCAGGCTGGCGCTGTCCCCTGAGAAAGTCGTAGGGCACAGGAGTGCGGCTTGCTCTCTACCTCTGCTTTTTTAAAAAAAATTTTAAAAATTAATTTATTTTATTTATGTGTGTGTATGGCCAGCTCAGCCCACCTGGGGGCAGCAGGGCTGGCTGGCATGTGGTGCTGAGGGGATTGTACCGCGGTCCCTGTGCTTTGTGCTTTGCTAAGCTTGTTCTAAGTAGGTGCTTTAGACCACTGAGCCATCTCACCAGCCCCTTCCTCTGCTTTTCAGAAGAGCTTGAAGCTCCTTTCCTGCTGCCTAGTGCCTGGGAGGGTGGAGAATAGGGCACGAGGAGCACACGTGCTCCACCTGCTGGCCGGGGAGCACAGTGGTCTCCGTCCTGTGGTCTTTAGGAAGACTGCTCATCTTTGCACACAGCTCCTGGTGTGGCAGGGCCAGCGGTTACCTGATCAGGTGCAGGCAGAGGGCAGATCAGGGCCTCTAGTAGAGGTCAGGCTGGGGTGCGGCTCAGCGGTGCATTGCTCGTCTCTGAGGGGCGCCCTGGGTTCCATCCCCCTACAGAACTGAAAAAAAGTTTTAAAGGACAGTGGAATTTATGATGGTCAGATCATGGCAAATCTACTACCAATTCTATGTTGAATGTGAAAGTTGTTTTCTGGTATCGTGGTTGTTTGATTTATAGAGACAAGGTCTTGCTGTGTAGTGCAGGCTGGCAGCGGTCCTCCTGCCTCAGCCTCTCGTGTGCACTGTCAACACTCAGCTGCCATGCATGTGAAAGGGAGAATTACAGTGTGACCAGGCCTCTGTTGTGATGGGATTGCGGGGTGAGCCTGGGTCCAGTGTCTGTGTGCTTGTTTCTCTACTGTGGCACCTCTGAAGCCTGTGACTCCTGGACTTGGCTTTGCTATTGGTTCTTGGGCATCTCATTAAACTACAAACTTGTCCCGCTTTAGCAGAGATTTATTGATGGGTGGTCCAGCAAAGCTCTTAGGGCTGCCCAGTAATGCCTTTGTTTTTCTGAAGTCCTAGAGATGGAACCTGGGAAGTGCTGAACTGCATCCCAGGCCTTTCTAAAATTTTTTTCTTTTCGGTACTGGGGATTGAACTCAGGACCCAGCGCTTGCCAGGCAAGCACTTATTCTACTGAGCTATCTCCTCGGCCCCTAAAATTTTTATTTTGAGATGGGATTTTTACTTTGCTAAGTTGCCCGCCGGGGCTTCCAGCATGCTGTCCCCCTGCCTCAGCTCGGCCTTCTGAGTGGCTGGGGTTACGGGCTTGTGCCCCTGACCTTACGGTAGTGGGGAGATAATCGAATCAACATTCTTACGTGTTTTCTTCAAAACAGGGTTGAAAAATACAGGCCAATAAAGCTGAACGAAATTGTTGGAAATGAGGACACCGTGAGCAGGCTGGAGGTCAGTGACTGCTTCCTTACTTGTTGGAGTGCTGGGGACGGAACCCAGGCCTTTGGACTGAGCTACAGAGGGAGTCCTTTTTTACATTTTAATTTTTTTTTGCCTGAGATATAGCCCAGCGGCACAGCACCTATCTGGCAACCACAAGGTCCTGAGTTTGATTCCCAGTACCAGAAATAAATAAATACATAAATAAATATATGTTTTATTTTGAGACATGGGCTTAACAAGTTGCTAATTTGCCCGCACTGGGCTCAAACTTGTCATACTCCTACCTGGGATGACAGGCAAAACCTTAGCTCAAAGTACAAATTCAAAATGGGCTGAGGATGACATTCTTGATAGAGCACCTACTTAGCTGGCCTTAGGCCCTGAGCTCCATCCCCAGGAAACTCCCACCCCAAAAAGGAAAAAAACTGTGGAGGCCTGGCATGGTAACACACCCCTGTAATCCTGGCACCCTGAAGGCTGAGGTAGGAGGATCTCCATGAATTCAAGGCCAAACCTAGCTACAAAGTGACAGAGCTACATAGCTCACGCTGGCCTAGAACTTGTGGCATCCTCCTGCCTCAGCCTCCAGCGTACTGGGGCCATAGGTGTATGCCACCACACCTAGCTTCTAACTAGTTTTATTTGATTAGGCTTTAAAAAAGTTTCTTTATTTTGAGACAGGGTCTTGTTCTATAACTCAAGGCTAGCCTTGAACGCATTATGTAGTCCAAGCTGACCTCAAATTCATGGTGATCCCCCTGCCTCAACCTTCAGAGTGCTGGGATTACAGGCATGGGCCACCATCCTGGCCTAATCAGTTTATTTATTTGTTTATGTATTTGGTACAAGGTCTCACTACGTAGCTCGGACTCATAGTGATCTTCCTGTGTTCAGCCTCCCTAGCACTGTGATTACAGGCGTGCGCCACCATGCCTGGTCTCAGTGGCCAGCTCAGCGTGCCTGGGGGTGGATCTGGCATGGCATGTGGTGCTGGGGATTGAACCCTGGTCCCTGCGCTTGCCTAAGCAGGTGCTTAGTCTGCTGAGCTATCTCACCAGCCCCTAATCAATTTTAATGCTCCTTTTCCCTCAGGTCTTTGCAAGAGAAGGGAACGTGCCCAATATCATCATTGCTGTGAGTGTGGGGCCCCGCGGGTGTCCTGGCCTCTCATTTCCCCACCAGGCTCTGCATTTCATCCTTGGGCCCTACACCTCCCTCCCATCAGTGGGGAGCTTGGGGGCACTTGGTGAGCCAGTGTGGGTGCTGGGGGCTGCACCCAGGTTCTGGTGGTACCAGGCACTCTCTGGATCCTGTCCCTAGGGGCCCCCTGGAACTGGCAAAACCACCAGCATCCTGTGCTTGGCACGAGCCCTCCTGGGCCCCGCGCTGAAGGATGCGGTTCTGGAGCTCAACGCGTCCAATGACAGGTCAGTCTGGTGAGGTCCACGTTCTGGGCTGCCCTTCCCCAGACCAGGGATAGCGGGGCAAGCACTTCCCTTTGGGTGGAAAAATGAAAGAATTCTTTCAAATTGTGGACAACCAGGCCTGGTGGTACTCACCAGAAGTCGTTGTCCACAATTTGAAAGAATTCTTTCAAATTGTGGACAACCAGGCCTGGTGGTACTCACCAGAAGTCAGGAAGGCTGAGGCAGGGGGATCATGAGTTCTCGCTCACTTTACATGACTTAGTGAGATCTGGATCAAGATAAAAAATAAGAAGACTAGGGCTGGAGCTTAGTGTGAAGACTCTGGGTTGCATCCCTAGTACTGGAAGAAAAGTAGTAGGATGTATGTAATATTAAAAAATTCTTTCTTGATCCTTTTTTTTTTTTTTTTATACAGTAGTAGGGATCAAACACAAGACCTTCACAATGAGTTATATCCCCAGTTCTTCTTCCTTTTTTCTTTTTCTTTTTCTTTTTGGATGAACTAGGGATTGAACTCAGGCCCTTGTGCTTGCCAGGGAAGCGCTTATTCTACTGAGCCATCTCCCTGACCCTTTTTAAATTTTTTAAAAATTTTTTTATTTTTTTTTTTTGCCTGACTCTTTTTTTCTTTTGAGACAAAGTCCCCTTAAATTGCCTAGGCTGGGCTGAATTTAGGATCCTCCTGCCTCAGTCTCCCACAGTGCAGGGATTACAGGTGTGCTCTGCCACACCCGGCATCACTCGGTGTCCACCTGTGGCTGGCTTTTTTCACTCAGTGTGATGTCCCCAAGGTTCCTCGGTGTCAGACACCAAGATATCCCCCCATTTCTGTAGACTCTGTTTCTGTCCCCTGATGCATGCAAAACGTGCCCTCCATGTCCAACCACTCCTATATATGTGCATGCATGTGCACACAAATGCCAGGATGAAAGAATCCTGTCCTAGCAAACGGAGATGGCCTCCTGCTGCGGTGGCACTGGCCTGTAATCCCAGCACTCAGGAGGCTGAGGCAGGAGGATAGCTGTGAATTTGAGGCCAGCCTGGGCTACACAGCGAGACCTTGTCTCAAAAAACAAACAAACGAACCCCCCAGATGGCCAAGGACATGTCACAAGACAGTGAACAGTGAGGTCTCTCTCACTGAGAGTCTCACAAGATGAAAAGACTTTGTTTTCCTTAGAAATATATTGTTCTGCCTGGTAAGTAGCTCAGTGGTGTAGCACCTGCATAACGTGCATGAGGCCCTAAGTTCAGTCCCCCATACCACAGGAAAATTAGGATGTGTTGAGCCGGGCCTGAAGGGGCACACCTGTAAGCTGAGCGCTCTGGGAGGCTGAGGCAGGAGAGTCAGAAGTTCCAGCCCAACTTAAGGACTTTGGGAGGCCCTGCCTCAAAATAAGAAAGGCTGGGAGCGTTGCTCAGCGTGAAGGCCCTGGGTTCAGTTTCCCGCAGACTGAATTTTATTAGCAGGTGGCAGTCCAATTCCAGCTTATTGTTTCAGGGGCATCGATGTTGTACGGAATAAAATAAAGATGTTTGCCCAGCAGAAAGTGACGCTTCCCAGGGGCCGGCACAAGATCATCATCCTTGACGAGGCCGACAGGTGGGTGGCCGCGGGCCTGACGTCTGCCCCGGCTGAGTTCAGTCAGAAGCACCCTGCGGCGGTGTGCTTACCGTGTCTCCTACACACAGTTGCAGGTCCGGGGATGAAGCTCAGTGGCACAGTGCCAGTCCTGAGTTTGATTCCCAGTACCAAAAAAAATGAAAATAAACCCGGTTATAGATAATTCCAATGACAAATATGGCAGTAACTCATGTTCTTTAAAGACAACTTAGAAAATACTATCGTATCTTGCTGTGTTTTTCTTTTTTTACCAGAAAACTTTTACTCTGTTTGTTTATTCATTTATTTTTTCCATTTATGTATTTGGTACCGGGTTGCACTGCACATCTCAGACTCGTAGTGATCCTCCTGTTTTCAGCCTCCCCAGTGCTGGGATTGCAGGCCTGCGCCACCACATCCGGGCTCATTTGCCAGATCAGTGTGCCCTGGGGGTGCAGCCAGCGCAGCATGTGGGACTGGGGATCGAACCTTGGTCCCTGTGCTTGCCAAAACAGGTGCTTAGTCCACTGAGCTACCTTACTGGACCAAGAACTTATACTCTAGCAAGATGCATTTTATACTTTTTGTCTCTTATATTTTGACTTTTTTTGTTTTAAAGGCCAGACAGGTGTCAAAGTTGCGAACCTCCTGTCTCAGCCCCCAATTTCTGCTGCACTTGCCAGCGGTCCCACCTTGCCCAGCTTTCACATGCCTGTCCCAGTCCTGGGGTTCACGATCTGCTCTGTGTGCTCGTTCTACATATCCATTCACCTGTTTTCCAGTCCACCCATGTCATATTTTTTATTTGATTTTGGGTGCATTTCCGAACAAGTTGGCATCAACACATGTCACTCTGAACATGTCAGTGTGCATGCGTACGTGCCCTCTTCTCATTAGGATGTGTCTTTGGAGTGTGGCACGCTGACTGTGGTGTCACCGTGTGGGAGAGGCGTGCCGTGGGCCTGGTCGCAGCTGCACAGTGCCTCTCTCCTGCGTTCCCCTCCCAGCATGACGGATGGCGCGCAGCAGGCCCTACGGAGGACCATGGAGATCTACTCCAAGACCACCCGCTTCGCACTGGCCTGCAACGCCTCGGACAAGATCATAGGTGAGTGGAGCCCGCCTGGCGCCTCGGCGGCAGCAGGAGAGACCATGGCTGCAGAAGCATGCCAGCTCGCCATAAGCAGCTTCATACGCTCTGGTTGGTAAAAAGTGTATATTTGTCACAGACGTGACATTCTGAAATACAGTTAACTGAAATTTGTTCAATCCTTGGAATTGAACCCAGGGCCTTGGCACTGAGCTATCTCCAATCCCTTTTTATTTTGAGACAGGATCACCCTAAATTAACTTGGGATCCTCCTGCCTCTGCTTCCCAGAATGCTGGGTTACAGGCTGGTGCCACTGCACCTGGCTAACTTAATTTATGAAGCATTATTGGCTGGACTGTCTCTCCTTTCCCTTCCCTTTCCTTTCCCTTTCTTTTCTTTCTTTTTTTTTTTTTTTCTCATTAAACGTTGTATTCACGTGACCCCGGAACCCGGCAGAATCAAAATCAACCCAGTTAAACCCAGCCCGCCCGGCAACCCTCTTGGTGGCCCGGCCCCGGGGTGAAGCGCTCGCTGCAGGACGGCTGCGGCCGCCTGGCGTCCAGGCTGGACGGGCGCCTTGCTCACACAACGTCCCTTTCTTTTCAATACTGAATATTGACCCCTTGGTCTTGTGCATGCAACTGAAGTGCTCTGCCACTGAGCTACACCCCAGGCCTTTGCTGAATTCTTATGTAGCGCCATGGTCTTGCCATCCTCTTGCCTCAGCCTCCAGAGTTCCAATTATAGGTATGACTACCACACCTCCTCTGGCTTCACTTCAGAAATAAGGAGCTGGAGTCGGGGAGGTCAGATAGTTTGTCCAGTGTCACAGCAGCAGCCAGCAGAGACTGCGGCCCTGGGTTTGTCCACCTCCTGCACTCTTGGGCACAGTGACATCACTGTCACGTTGCTCAGTGTCGCCACCACCCCCATGTCCTCCCTGGTGCTTTGTACCCTCCAGGTGTGTGGCTTCGCCCATGCCCTGGCCCCCGTCCTGCTAGGAGTCGCCGGGCCTCTGATCTCCACATCAGGCCTCAGTTTGACCTGGGTCCTCTTCCCTGTACTCCTCCCCGACAGTGCCCAGCCTCACACCCTCCCCTGCAGGACTGTCTACACAACCCTGTATCGTGTCTCTCCCCCCACCCTGTGCCTCTGCTCACGCCTGCCCCGAGGTTGCCGTCCCTGTCCAGAGTGCTGGGAGTCCTCTGTGTCTCACCTCTCCCTGTGTCCCCATGTGTCCCTTCATTGATTATCAGTTCTCACCGATGTGTGTTCTTTCTCAGGGGCTTGAGCATGGACTTGCATTCCTGCACCGTGGGAGGAATGCACGGCTGCTCTCTGTCCCCGTCCCTCCTCACCTGCCCAGTGGCCCAGTACATCATCGAGGGCAGCAGCTTGGTCCACTTCCCACTCCTCCCCACAGTGTGCTGCAGGGTCTGTGTGTTGGTGGCTTTGCTTGGTGACTCGCAGTGACAGTTGGAGGAACTGTCTCTTCTTGCGTCAATTTCCACACACACACAGCGTTCTCATGGCTGTTGTTTCCTAAGGGAAACAAGCCACTACCAGCAGTGGCTTGGTGGTAGACCCCTCCTCTACTGTGGGTGACGCCCTGGGCTCAGTCCAGCACCACAGAAAAAGTCTCGGAGGGAGCCGGGCACAGCGAGCGTTGGAGACCACAAAGGGACATGGACGGTAGAGGAGCTACTGTGTTAGTCTCAGTGGAGGGACAGGAGAACTTTGCCGCTCTGTGTTTGTGCCAGGCATGGTGCCATGCACCTGTAAAAACCACACTTTTTTTTTTTTTTTTTTTTTTTTTTTTTTTGAGACAGGGTCTCCAGCCCCTAAAACTGCACTCTAGGAGGCTGAGGCAAAAGGATTGCAAGTTCTAGCCTAGTCTTAATAATTTAGTGACTTAAATCCTGTTGCCAAATAAAAATTTTTAAAAAGGCTGGGGATGTAGCTCAGTGTGAAGGTCCTGGGTTGAACCCTCAGTACATTCCTTAGAGCTCTGAGGTCATGGGTGTTCTGGAGCCGGGGTGTCGGTGTGACCTGCCCAGTGGGTGCACTGTCTAGCCCGCACTGTGGCACCTGCCATGGCGCCCGACCTGCCGGTGACTGAGTGACAGTGTGTCATGTGTTCTGTCTGAGCTGGGGCTGCTCAGACAGGTGGCCCAGCCCTCACTTGTTCCCCAAGTCCCTCCAGCTGGGCAGAGGCCAGCGTGGCCGTGTTGCCGCCTGAGCCACAGCCCTGTGTTGCCCACAGAGCCCATCCAGTCCCGCTGCGCCGTGTTGCGCTATACCAAGCTCACCGACGCGCAGGTCCTCGCGCGGCTCCTGAGAGTCATCGAGAAGGAAGCTGTGCCCTACACGGATGACGGCCTGGAAGCCATCATCTTCACGGCGCAGGGCGACATGCGGCAGGTGCGCACCGTGCTGTGGCTGGAGAGGTGGGGTGGACCGGGCTGCCCTGCCCATCTGGGCTGTGTGTCTCCCTCTGCAGGCGCTGAACAGCCTGCAATCCACCTTCTCTGGCTTTGGCTTCATCAACAGCGAGAACGTGTTCAAGGTGCCAGGCCTCGTGGCCCAGGCGGGCTGCCTGTGTCGCTGATGGGAGCAGGCTGGGAGGGGCCTTGTGGGTGGCCAGGAGTTGGGGCCTCCTGTCCCTCACACACCTCTCGGTATGGCCAGGTCTGTGATGAGCCACACCCCCTGCTGGTGAAGGAGATGATCCAGCACTGTGTGAGCGCCAACATCGACGAGGCCTACAAGGTGAGCTGCCGGGCTTCTGCCTTCTGTGCTCAGGTCTGGAGCTGGGGCTGGACATGCTGCACTGGAGTAGGTGTGCAGGGCCCTGAGTTCAGTGTGGGGTCTGGCCTGATGTGCCCCTGGAGTTCTGGGCAGGGAGACCAAGGCAGGGTACATGGTCCGAGGCCTATCCCCATGTGGCCTGGGGTGTGCAGACATGGTTTGCACCTGCTGAATTCACCCCGAGATTCTGAGATCAGGGTGAAAAGGTCAGTTCTAGACCCCCAGTGTGGACAGGGTGGGTGGGCTAGGGCAGCAGGGCCGAGCAGTCCTGCAGGGCGCCTGGTGGGCTGCCTCAGTGTTTGCGGAGATCCAGCAGGTGGGTGCAGGGGAAGGGGGTCAGCACGAGATCAAGGCCAGTATGGACTACACAGCTAGACCCTGGCTCAGGAGAGAGAGAACCCAGGTGGAGACGGAAAGGCCACCACAGCAGGCCGTCCTGAGGCCCGCAGAAACACTGGCTGGGCTGGTTCTGCCCCTGTAAGACGAGTTGACTTCACTTGACTGGAGCATGTCAGGCTGTGAGCCCCACAGGTCCCCCACCGCTCGTGGCTGAGGTGCCCCCCCCAGATCACGTGGGTTGTCCGGGCAAGCCGTGCCCCGGGTGCCCACGGCCTCGCTGCGTCCCTCTGCCCAGATCCTCGCCCACCTGTGGCACTTGGGCTACGCGCCAGAGGACATCATCGGCAACATGTTCCGCGTGTGCAAGACTTTCCAGATGGCCGAGTACCTAAAGCTGGAGTTCATTAAGGTGAGCACTCTGAAACTGCCGCCCCAGCAGTTCTGGGGCTCTGATCCTCCAGGTTCTCACTGAGTGACCGAGCTCAGGGCCCAGAACTCAGGGCCTCGCATGCCCTGGGCAGGTGCTCTACTGTGGAGTCTTGCCCTGCCTTTTTTTATGGTCTGGCAAATTGATAGAAACAGTCTCATGCTGTAGTCCAGGCTGACCTTGAACTCACTATGTACTCAGTGATCCTCCTGCCTCAGCCTCCCCAGTGCTGGGATTACAGGCATGCACCCCCACGCCTGGCTTTGGGTTGTGTGTATGTGTCTTTCAAAGAAACTACAAGAGCCTCTTCTAGAAACCAGCTGAACTTTAGTTCAGCCTAATCCATGACATTCTCGCCTCGTTTCCCATCTGGAGTTGGAGTCTGCTATATCTGTTTTGAGTGTGCTGCCTGTTCAGGCTGAAGAAAGCACCCTGTGCGTGTAGTAACCAGCCTCGCACTGCCTGTCCGTAGGAGATCGGCTACACGCACATGCGCGTGGCGGAAGGCGTGAACTCCCTTCTGCAGATGGCGGGGCTGCTGGCCAGGTTGTGTCAGAAGACAATGGCGCCGGTGGCCAGTTAGAGTGGGGACGTCGCCAGCACACCCTGAGGAGCCCTCACCCCAGAGCCGGAGAGCTGCAGGCTCCAGTGGGGGTGCGTCCAGCTTTCAGTTCTGCTGTGTCCAGGCATGTGGCACATCCTGTTGTGCGCGTGTCTGGGGGACCTGGTGACATGATGGGTGGCACAGCCAGGTGCAGGTGCTATTCACATTGGGGCAATAAAGCTGGACCGTGTTTGTCCTGCAGCGTTTGACATTGCCAGGTTTCAAGGGACACCGAGGCCATGCTGTGCCTTGACTGGGGGGCTGACTGGGGGGCTGACTGGGGGGCTGACTGGGGGGCTGACTGGGTAGCTGGGCCGGGCTTCTCCGGAGCTCAGATGTCCAGGCTGGCTGTGGTCTCCTGGGGTGCAGTAAGGTCCTACGGGACAGACAGGACTCGCGTCTCACGTGCTGCAGGTGGGCTGGGGCCAGGCCGCCCGTGGGGCTCCGCACACTGCAGGGCCAGGTTCCAGCCAGGCTGCAGACCACCACAGACAGCCTGCTGGAAGTGGCTGAGGGCAGGGGCTGCTGCTTCAGAGTTCACTCCCCGCCCCCCCCCGTTTTGTGCTACAGTGGAGCCCGGGGCTTCATGAATGGCGGGCCAGTGCTCTCTGCTGGGCCACACCCCAGTCCCTTTTTATTTTGAGATAAGGTCACAGTTATCTAGTCTGGCTTCAGACTTGCAATCCAAGGCTGAGTGTGGTGGCACACACCTGTAATCCCAGCGCCCAGGAAGCTGAGGTAGTAGGATTGCCTTGAGTTAAAGGCCAACCTGGGCTACATAGCATACCCTGTGTCAAAAAAAACCTTTTGATCCTCCTGCTTCAGCCTCTAGCATAGCTGGGATCATAGCGTGTTGCCTGCCCACTTCCCTTTATTTAAGTGTGAAAAGTTTCAGTGGTGTTAAAGTTCCAGCACAACACAGTGACCCTTCACATTTATCACACACCAATACAGTGTCACTCACATGGCCAGGTGTTTCCCGTGTCCCCTACCTGCCACACTGCCCTCTCCTGAAGGCTCTGAAGCAAACGCCAGGCCTTGTTTATTTACAGTGGTGACTTTGCTTCTGTGACTGGCACTTTTGCTGGGGGAGTTGGG